TACTTCAAATTTCAGCATGGGTTTTACCTCTCAAAATGCATTAAGGCTTTTCAAAGAGGTTTTTATTAAAGAATGGACCTCGAGCAAAACCATGGACAACATAATTTCATTTATCATATGACAAATCTTCATTATCTTGGTTAAATGAACAGATCCTTTAATCATACATTGAATTCTTTTGGGCAGGTGGATGACATCCTCGGGGAAGAGAGTGACAATGAAAGCGAGGGAAAAGGGAAAGAGGAGAGGATGGAGGTAGAGGAGGAGGAAGAGGAAGAGCGGCCCCACATAAGCAAGCAGAAGGCCCCAGCATCAGATTACGTCCCGCCACTGGCCACTGTTGTTGAGGAAGCAGCCCAAACATCGACCAGAGAAGAAGTCTGTGTAACGGGGAATGTGCCAAGGTATTACACCGACAGTGCCAGTAAAGGAAAATTATACTTTTTTTCATGAATTGTCGAAACTCGAATGATGAATTTCATTATGGGGTTCTGTGTAACCTGTAATATACATGAAGTGCTTTACCGACAAAATAGGGCTCTGTGATTGAGCTTTAAACCTCTTGCTTCAGTGGCGTAAGTGTTGATTAGCGACACTGCTGTGCCCGATTTCCATCAGGCCCTTGTACTCCCAAAACTGCCACTGTCTTCGGCAAATAACATTACCAGTTGCCATGGCAATGTCTGGATTTAGAGATCTAGCAGAAGGTTGGGTCACGTCCTCTTACATCTTCCTGTCCAAGCACAAATGCCCCACCCGCTGCCCAGACTTCTGTCCAACACTGGTGTAGTCGGTGGGATGTTGTCAGATCAGCGTGTGTGAGGAGCTGCTTTCTGGGCCGGCCCGCTCTTGTCTGGAGCAGCTAAACGGACAGAAGCAGCACACTTGTCTTTTATCATATGGCTCATACTGCACCCATTTTCCACCAGAAAATTAGACCCGTCCCACTTTATCTAGTTTCTCTGCTTCCCAGCAGTCATTAGCAGTGACTCCGAGAACCACAGCGCTGTGTCTGCTGCCTGTGCCAACTCAATGAATGCAGTAGCGTAATCGTTAGGAGTTCAGAGCGGTGAACAATGAGATGTGGAAGAGAAAAATTATTAATTTTTTTCTCAAATTGTCTATTTGGCTCCAGAAGGACCTGCATCCAGTGATTACAGCTTCTCAGAGCAATCCAGTTTTCTCACCTGGTATTCTCATGTTCTTCTTTTTTATCATTTCCACACTTTTTTGTCCTCTCAAGTCGGTGAGATCAGAAGATGGTAAAGTTTTTTTGCACTTATTTCGTTCTTGACGACAAAACATTTTTTTCTGGTGCGGGTAGGGTCTCACGTTTTCGTCTGTATGTAGATTTAAAAATGAAAAGATGAACTATTAAGCAGAAGACGTAACGAGTTATAGAAGCAGAAGACCTAAGGGATTGGGTAGGTGAGTAAACATGGAGAGTAGTGAGATATGAAGGTGCTAAATTATGAAGAGCCTTGTAAGTGAAACGTAAAATCTTAAATTGTATCTGGTATTTAACTGGAAGTCAGTAGAGTTGTCTTAAGAACGGTCTTATAAACTTTGCAATTTTCCACGCACATATCGGGATTCATAAAAAATAAACTAGGCGTAAATATGTGCGCACTGTACGGACACTCTAGACAATGCGTACGCACTCTTTTACTGGAGGGAGCGAAATAAGGAAGCAAACAGAATGATTTTAAAGTCTGTTTTACATTTGACATACATGTTTAGATTAAATATGACACTCTGAATAATGAAGTTAATCACTGAAATTTCGTGAAATTATTATCCAGAAATTACAAAATTTTTATATGAATTTAAACAGAAATATTTGCAGTGGTATGCGATTTAATGTTTTAATCACAGCGAGCATTGCTTGGTGCATGACAATTCCGCTTTAAATTGTGTTCTAAATAGCAAAACTCATGTTCTGAGAAAATACTTTTGCGCGAATAATAATTATAATTTTTGTGAACTTGACTTTGTTTGATGTTTTGGAACATAGACGGTAACGACAGTCATAAGGATACACTCGTTGATCAAACAGTCCATTGGTCTGATGACAGTAGAACCTCTGTTCACAGGTGTCGCGAGCACAGACAGTAGCCTAATGATAACCCCTTTCGTGCTCGTCATAATATTGTGGCAAACACCATATTTAAAAGATACAATTTGAAGGAAACTGTAAGATATGCGCGTTTTATTTTCAAAATGTTTTGTTATTTACGCGGTGAGTCGGACAGCTATTTACACTGCAAAAAATAAGGCCTATCTCTTTCCATAAAAATATAGGCTATAAACATTCTAAAATATATGTTTACTTTTTAGGCAAATTGCATAAATTGGAATAGTGATGTCTCAAAACGCATTTATAGTCTGTATCTCATATTTTCCTAACGTATTCCTACCCTTAACTGCGTTAAACATGGTGTCACGTGGATGGAATATGCATGGAAATGATATGCAGATGACGTTATGCATATTAAAACTAGGCGTTGTAAGCTCCATAAATGGCTATTTCGGGAAGGAGATGGGGTGGAGATTCATGTACGCACAATCTTCTGCTGACTGGGTATTACAAAGGGAATTTTGCGCAGGTTCTGGTGTACGCATGACTTTATAAATCTGAAAACTTTTGTACGTACGCAAAATCTAGCTAAGATGAAATCTACGTAAAGGCCCCTGGGCTGCTGAATTCTGGACAATTTGAAGTTTATTAAAAAGCTTTTGTGAAATCCCACAATTACAGTAGTCAATACTAGGGATGTGCAAATTAACCGTTTAACCATTAACTGAATTTAAAAAAAAAAAACGGTTTAAAAAGGTATTTTTTTAGGGGTGCTCCAATCAGGATTTTTGAGGCTGATCACAGAAAGCAGTATCTGCCAATACGATCACCGATACCGATCTTTTTAAAGCCTGCTTATTATCACTTATAACTATTTATAGTGATACTCCAATCAGGATTTTTTTTTTTTTTACACACAGTACAGTAACACAATCTTTCACAGACATGTTTAAACACAATAAATATAAGCAACACATTATTCAATGCTTTTTACTTCTAGATTTATATAAGTTGCTCAAGCAAGTGGCAAAACATTTAAACTACTTTTCTTACGTTATCACAAACTTACCATTGACAGAAATAGTCAACTCTACTGCTTTTCCTTTTGCATTGAAATCTTTATTACAAGCAATCCTGCAGTTCATAAAGAACTTTGTTTTCCTTCCTCCACGAGTGCCATCTATTATTGCCTTCTTTATCTAAAAGTGCTCTTTCCCTTTAAACCTAGCCAAAAAGCCATATGTGTTGACTGTGAAACACTGTAGACTTTAATAATATGCATTTATGGTGTAATTACTATATTTTCGTGTCAATCCATGTTCATATTTACTGCAAACAATGCTCAGTTACTTTAATTCAGCGTTTGCAGCGTAGCAAACAAACATAGACTCGGTGCGGAAACGATCTCGGCACTGCTGCAGACCGCTCCTGGAACGCACAGCCGGACCACAGCCGTGTGCAGTAAACACTTTAATTAGTTAACATGAGCGCAGAAAAAATACACACCACTTACGCACTGCAAATGGAGTAATGTGAACCTGGCATTATGTGTGTGTGCTGCGAGTGTGCATGAGCGCTCAGTCTCCAGGAGAGCGCGCGAGCGCTGAATGGTTAAACACTGGCAAGAATTAAAAATAAATGCAATTTATAAACTTTAGTGACGATGTGACACTGCCTCGACTGTGCAAGTGACAATTCCTGTGTCAACTGTGCAGTGCAGCTCGCTTATAGACAGACGCGATGTGTGATAATTTGAAGCCATTTGCGTATTTTGAGAGAGAACGAGAGAGAGCACGTGCGGTGATTTACTCACGCTGTTTGTGAAATAACATCTCACACAAGGTTTTGAGTACCTCACCTTCAGCATTATAATTATTTCACCCGTGCCGGACAGAGACTGAGACGGTGCCGCTGCATGTCATGCCAAACCTCTCACGGCTGCGTCATCAGCTTGAGATCGGCCTTTTTAGAGACCACCAATCAATCATCCCAATGTGATTACCGGCCGATAGTGATCGGTAGCCGATCAATCGGAGCCGAGAGAGAGCACATGCGGTGATTTACTCACGCTGTTTGTGAAATAACATCTCACACAAGGTTTTGAGTACCTCACCTTCAGCATTATAATTATTTCACCCGTGCCGGACAGAGACTGAGACGGTGCCGCTGCATGTCATGCCAAACCTCTCACGGCTGCGTCATCAGCTTGAGATCGGCCTTTTTAGAGACCACCAATCAATCATCCCAATGTGATTACCGGCCGATAGTGATCGGTAGCCGATCAATCGGAGCACCCCTGATTTTTAAAAGTATTTTCCCTCCCAAGTATTTCAAGTAAGTTTGCTGCATGGTGAAAGAAAAGGATCCAATATGTATTTGTTTACCCACGGGGAAAAATCTACCCAGGGCATCAGTTAAGAAGTAGCCCGATTCTGTGGAAAAAATGCGAACTTTGCAACCCTGCATCCAACACGAGCTTGACTGATCACGGGTCGAGAGTAAGATAGATGACTGACAGACCATGCTGGAGTAATTGCTGCTCAGCAGATCCTGAACTCACTGACAAATATCTGATCTTGTAAGATTAGATGTGCTCCTTTACACAGAGTGCACATGAACGCGAAATCGAAAGTGAACAGCGAGCAGCCGAGCACGCATTGAAAAGCGATTTCAGTACCTGCATAGTGATGGAGCGAAAATTATAAACAATATAAGAATGTTTGCGGGAGCGGACACAAAAATCGCGGGAGCGAAACACACACGTTGCGGGAGCAGGCGGTAATGGTCAGAATTTCAGTGAGAGTGGCATTACGAAACAGTTCCGCGCAGAGCTGTAATCCAGACTATCCGGACAGCACATCGACATTTTAGCCTACTTTTTTTGTTTTTGTTTTTATAAAAACTAGACACATTGTGCACTGAGGTAGGCCTGCTATTTATTTTTATGTCTGATGGGAAAAAATACTTTCTTTAAGGTGCATTGAAGGATTCAGTGTGTTTTAGTTTTGTCATCTTATTTAATTGAAAAATATTTAGTGTAGGCCTATTTATTTTATTATTTTCATTTGTTATTTTATTCTGTTTTCTCTGTTCTCAGAAGCTATGCAGGTGCATAGTCTTGACTATGTGTGAATCCAGGTTCTGTTGTTGCTCTGTTGTTTTGTATGCTGCTGTTTGCATCTTAAAATAAACCCGTGAAAAAAAAAGTTAGTATTTTTAATGGGTCGCAGACACTCATCCATTCTATTTTTATCTAATGCTAATAGTTTATTTTACAGTTATCAAAAAAAAATTATTATTCTAATCTTATCAGTTAACGGTTAATAT